TAAGGTAGAGGGTCAGTGAAAAAGAGGAAGACCCTCAATGAGATGGACTGACACAGTGGCTGCAACAATGGGCTCAAACATAGCAATGACTGTGAGCATGGTACAGGATGGGGCAGTGTTTTGTTCTGTTGTACATAGGGTCACTATGAGTTGGAATCGACTTAATAGCACCTGACAACAACCAGTGTGTTATGTACTACATCCATACATTTGTGTGCAAAGACATATTTATACATCTATACCTTACCTTGTTCTGGGGATGATTAAAGTAGCATGGGTTGGAAATATTGATAAGGGAACTGTCAGCATGCAGCCAGAACTTGAAGTTATGAAGAAGATTACGTAGCCAAGAGTATATAGAGTGAGAATTAAGGAAGGTAAAGGACTGAACACTAAAAAAAACTCAATATTTAAAGATGATGAAAACATGATTGTTTTCGTGATAGAGAAGAAGAAAGAAAATCCGAAGGGGTAAAAGAATGAAAAATTAAATAGTATCTTGGAAGGTAAGAGAACTGAAAATGTCAAAAAGAAAGACTGACCAATAGAGGGAACAAGTAAGAAAAGGGATAAAAAATACCCACTGGATTTAATAATTGGGGTGTAACTGGCAACCTTGGCAAGGGCAGCTTTAGTGGCACATCCGCCATTGCTCTTCACATGACGCTGAGTGAGTGAGGTAATGTAGGGAGCAATTAGGGACTTTTCCTCTGCTGCCTCCTCCTAGTGGTAGAACAGAAGTGCCCTCATGGAAATACAAGAAAGGGAAATATAGTTTCCCCAGAGCAAACGGTAGCCCATAAAAACAAAACAAATAAAGAACTGATATTTTAATACACAATTGTTAAAAGATAAATAGGGATTTTATACAGTATCACTTACATAGAAAAACCATTAAAAGAAGCATACTCCTCAGCTGTGAATCCATAAATATCTTGGCGGGATAGGTCCACATCTTGCTGAAGAATAAGACTGACTAAACTTGTTGGTTCAACACTGAGAGCAATCATAAGGGCTGTTCTGGAGCAAGAGATATAAATAAATGTCAATTATGGATCTTAAACATGTATCTTTTCTAAAAGTCGATCTTCTCAATTTACTATTCAAATGTAGGCTCTCTATCAGGAAGAGCCAGGGCAAATCTGCTCAAAAAGATATGCCAATCACAGATGTAAAGATCAAGAGTCTCTAAGTAAGCAGCTAGCTCAATGGTTTTCAATCTCTGATCCCTGGAACCTTAGCACTTTAAAGGATATAGCTCAAAATTTTACAGAGGGAAGTGTCTGGGGCTATGGGCCTCCCCCCTCCCTCCACTTAAACTACAGGAGCTGCAATTTAGAATTGGGCTTCTACGTAAGATTCTAATGTTATAAAAATAATAATGATAGCTTATCAATCTGGTCCAACTGTTTAATTTTACAGATTAAAAAAACAGATTCTAAGAGTCTAGCTAATTTGCTTAAAATCATAAGTCATGTGATCAAACATTTTCCCAATATCAAATACATATACATACATACAATATGTAATGTATTTATAATGTAATATATATTATATGTATAAGAATATATATATTCTTATCCCCTTAGGTACTAATAGTTCTATGCTATCTCATTTGACTCCATTAATTATACCTTTGAGAGTTATCTGAAGCATTCACATTTGCCCCTTTCTTCAGAAGAAATTCTACCATTTCTGCATTATTTTCTGTAATAGCAAGTAAAAGTGGAGTATATCCATCCTGAAAAATTATTTCAAAATGATCATATAAAATATTGTACCAACATTACATGCATTTTAGATTTAAATTAAATTTTTAAAAATAATTGTGCTTATAAGAAACCTCTGAATATACACTTTAATTTTTTTAAGGTTTTTATGCAAAAATTAAGAAAACAAATTGAGGTTGGGCCATCAAAAAATAAATTAGAGTTTCTACATTACTAGGCTTAATTCAAATTGTGGGCAAGAGCAACCTGGAGAGCTTAAGTGATGAACACATTGCATTTAATATAAGTATTACATACTACCAATTCACTTCATAATGTTGTCACAATTGGGTTTCCATAGTTCTTCATTTGAATCTCCAAAGTTGGCACTTATTTTAGGCTGTTATGTAGACAAAATCATTAAAGTGTCAAGATACTTAAAAGTAAAAATATATTCATCAATTTCTCATAATGTCTCAACAGGAGAATTGGATCACTTTTAGTTTAATAAGTGATTTTCTAATTCAACTCTATTCTTATCACTATTCATGAGTATATAAATAAAATAGGAAAAAAGTGGGCCTTATGATTTTTATCATTACCCATGTATAAAGCAATCAAATATTTCTCATTTGACATAACAGTTTAGAGAGGTATCATGTTAAATATGATATTACTTTGGAGGTTGGGATTACAATCTGAAATGAAATGAGGACTTTTTGAAAAGGAAAATTTTAATTTTTAGTTTCTGATCGTCTCACTCTCCTTTTCAATTTTACTTTGGGAAACTCATTCTTTATATAATCTGTATTTCAACAGACATGAATTATCTGCAATGAATATCTTCTTCAGTAGCTTTCTAAAATATAAGTTTTCTAAAACATAGAAATAGAAGACTACCTTGTTTTGAGCTTCAAGACTAGCTTTGTGTTCAAGCAGTTTTTCTACTAATGAAACACTGTGACCACAGACAGCATAATGAAGAGCAGTATTGAGATCAAAATCTACGAGATTTGGGTCTGCACCGTGGTTTAGAAGAAGAGTAGCACAATTCTCCTTCTGACACTGTACTGCCTGTCAACACAACAAGAGTACATGAGTAACAAAATTAATACCTAGGACATGATAGGTTAAATTAATGTTTAATACTATGTTTTAATGTATGAAAATCCACAAAAGGCAACTAGGGAAGAACTCAAGCATATTCCACATATAAGTACAATTGAACAGGAAAAATTAGAACACACCTTAATCAATGGAGATCTGTTTTCTCTATCCTGGACATTCATTTTGCATTGTTTCTCAATTAAGAGAGACACAACACTTGTATATCCATTAGCACAGGCCAGATGCAAAGGTGTCCTATATCAACATAACAAAACACAAAGTTACAGATAAGTCTTAGTTTGAGAAGTTACTTACTGTACCCATGATCAAACCAGATTATATTGTGTTAAGGTATTTGCACCGTGTGCTTATTTACATTTACACAAACTTTAGATTATCTGTTTAGATTTACCAAATTAAAAAGGCTGTGCAAATGTCTTGGATGTGAAATATTTAATTGGTTTTATTCAAGGAAAACTTAACTATAATGATATGAAAAAGTATTTTTTCCAAACATCAAAAATGGTATCTAGGCCTTGGGAAGGATGATAAAATTAGATAGGTATCCCAATAAAACTACAAATGATCTCCAAAACCTGGAATACATCTAACACTTAACAGAAGGAAGGGACATTGCCTTTGTTCAGTTCCATTCTGCTCCTGAGTATGTTCCTCTCAGCTTGCCCAGCTATTAAAGTTGCCATTTGTATTTGAGAAATGAACACAAAAAAAACACTAAGGATTCTCCCAGTTGTAGATCTCAACCTAATTTTAAGTTATTTCACTAATTTATACTTCTCAAAGAAGCCTACTCTATACGACATTCATGAAACACGACAGAACACTAATCAGTTCCACTTAAACTTTACAGTTTTTAGCCTTGCCCTCAATAAACTTTTTTAAGTTGATATTATATCAAAGAATTGATGCACTTGAAATACGGTGTTGGTGAAGAATGTTGAATACACCATGAACTGCCAGAAAAATGAACAAATCTGTCTTGGAAGAAGTACAACCAGCATGCTCCTTAGAAGTGAGGATGATGAGACTTCGTCTCACTTACTTTGGACATGTTATCAGGAGGGGCCAGTCCCTGGAGAAGGACATGATGATTGGCAGAGGGTCAGCAAAAAAGAAGAAGACCCTCCATGAGATGAACTGACACAGTGGCTGCAACAATGGGCTCCAATATAGCAAAGATCGTGAGGATGGTGCAGAACTGGGCAGCATTTTATTCTGTTATAGATAGGGAAGCTGAGTCAGAACCGACTGGACGGCATCTAACAATTTATCCCAACTTTATAATATAGAATCCATGTATAGATTGCCCATATCCCAAACAACACACCTTAGATGCCGTTTCCCCACTTTACTTCAGGTCCTTCAAAGTACTTTATGGGTGCATGAACATACAGGGTTGCTATGAGTCGGAATCGACTTGACAGCAATGAGTTTGGTTTTTTTTGTTTAAACAGACCTGCTACTGACACACAGGAGCAGCAAAGATGGCCCTTAAGAACTTAAAAATAAGGTAACTTTGAAAGAATTAAACCAGGAAGATCTATACTTGATGATATAACCTACCATATAGTAAATTAAGAAAATATAAAAAAAGCTCTGAACAATTTGGGAATGCTAAAATTCCAGTCAAGGTTACCTGAATGTAATCTGTAGATGGCAGGGCTATAATGTAACTAGTTTAAACAGCAGACATCTAGTCAATTATATTATCCTCTGGGTGCAGAGACTATACTCAGAAAGAGACTGGTCACCTTGGATGAAAGAATGGAACCAGACATTACCCATGATTAATTAACATCCTCCATGGAACAGAAAACCTGATTTTAAGGAACCCATACTTCCCAGTAACTGGAAAAGAACATTTCAGTGTAGGACGAAACTGATTCATTAGACATCCTGGTTTGCAGGGAACATCCCTCAAAACTATCTATCTACCTCACTTTGGTGTGATTCCATCCTTACCAAGCAAAGTGCTGGTGACTAATTTGGTTTCTCAGTAATTCTGATACCAGGAAAGGGACCTCTGTAAGGGACACACAGGGAATCTAGTCACTAGAAACAAATATACTCAATAAATTGGAAGTTTTATTTATACCTGTTATATTTCAGCTCTCAGTGCATTTGATTGTCAGGAATCTGCTTCCTTGACTTTTTCTTTGGAACACTGACAGCGTTGAGGACTAGTCTCTGGCACAAAATGAAGTCAGTGAGGCACTGCCAAACTCTAGATCTTCTGGTAGACATTCTTGCACCCTTCTGATGGAGACATACCAACCTCAACTTTGTCATGTTTTTAACTTACGCTGTCACATACGAACCTACAAGTTTGTCATTCTAGATTGATACCACTCCTGACCAAAAAGATTACCTTCTACAAAAAGCTACCACGATGACACTTACTGACCCCTAGAAATAACTGGAGCTTTCCAGGGAACTCTTACTCTCAAAATAATAAGCACAGTCCCTGACAAGTCAAAAGAGCTTCTAGGAGAGAGTTGTCTCCTCATACCTATAACTATCCAGTATCTAAACACAACTAAAAATTTAAAATAAATTGTAAATCTTTTACGTTTTTACTAAGTCAGCTTTCCAATCATTCTAATAAGAATCCTAAAAAAGAAATCACTGAATATAATGGAGTATTATTGAGTCATAAAGAGAAATGAAGTTCTGATACTAGATATGACATGGATGAACCTTGAAAACACTATAGTGACTAAAATAAGTCAGTCACAGAAGGACAAATATTATGAGCCCACAAACATGAAATATCTAGAACAAGAAAAGGAACAAAAGCAAAAATTTATTAGTGGTTACCAGAGGGTGGGAGAGGCAGGTAATAGGCAATTATGGATTAAAGTACTGAGTTTCTGGTGACGAAAATATTTGGAAATGGATAGTGGTGATGCTTGCACAAAACGGTAAATAATGTCACTGAATTGTAAATTTAAAAACGTTAAAAATGGTTAAAATGGTAATGTTTGGCTATATATGTTGTTGTTGTTAGATGCCATCAGGTAAGTTCCAACTCAAAGCGATCTCATGTACAACAGAATGCAACACTGCCTGGTCCTGCACCATCCTCACAATCATTGCTATGTTTGAGTTCATTGTTGCAGCCACTGTCAATCCATCTCGTTGAGAGTCTTCTGGCAATTCACAGTATATTCAATATTCTTCGCCAACACCATAATTCAAAGGCATCAATTCTTTTTCAGTCTTCCTTATTCATTGTCCAGCTTTCATATGCATATCAGGCAACTGAAAATATCACGGCCTGGGTTAGGTACACCTTACTCCTCAAAGTGACATCTTTGCTTACACTTGAAAGAGGTTTTTTGCACCAGGTTTGCCCAATGCAATATGACCTTTGATTTCTTGACTGCTGCTTCCGTGGGCGTTAACGGTGGATCCAAGTAGAAGGAAATCCTTGAAAACTTCAGTATTTTCTCCGTTTATCATCATGTTGCTTATTGGTTCAGTGTGAGGATTTCTGTTTTCTTTATGTTGGGGTGTATTTCATACTGAAGGCTGTAGTCTTTGATCTTCATTAGTAAGTGCTTCAAGTCCCCTTCGCTTTCAGCAAGCAAGGGGTGTCATCTGCATAACACAGGTTGTTAACGAGTCTTCCTCCAATCCTGATGCCATGTTCATTCTTCATATAGTCCAGCTTCTCGGATTATTTGCTCAGCATACAGATTGAATAACTACAGTGAAGGGATACAACCCTGACGCACACCTTTCCTGATTTTAAACCACTCAGTGTTCCCTGAATGCTCCTTAAAAGCAAGGATGGTGAAACTACATCTCACATATTTCAGACATGTTGTCAGGAGGGATCAGTCCCTGAAGGACATCATGCTTGGTAAAGCAGGTCAACGAAAAAGAGGAAGACCCTCAATGAGATGGACTGACACAGTGGCTGCAACAATGGGCTTAAGCGTAACAATGACTGTGAGGATGGCACAGGACCGGGCAGCGTTTCGTTCTGTCATGCGTAGGTGGCTATGAGTCGGAACCGACTTGATGGCACCTCACAACAACAACAGTATTCCCTTGGTTTGTTAGAAGGACTGCCTCTTGGTGTATGTACAAGTTCCACATAAGCACAATTAACTGTTCTGGAATTCTTTTTCTTTGCAATGTTATTCATAATTTGTTATGATCCACACAGTCAAATGCCTTTGCATAGTCAATAAAACACAGATAAACATCCTTCTGGTATTCTCTGCTTTCAGCGAAGATCCATCTGACATCAGCAATCATATCCCTTGTTCCACGTCCTCTTCTGAATCCAGCTTGAATTTCTGGCAGTTCCCTGTCAATGTACTGCTGCAACCATTTTTGAATGATCTTCAGCAAAATTTTACTTGCGTGTGATGTTAACAATATTGTTCGATAATTTCCAAATTCTGTTGGATAACCTTTGTTTGGAATGGGCACATCTATGGATCTCTTCCAGTCGGTTGGCTAGGAAGCTGTCTTCCAAATTTCTGGGCATAGGTGAGTGAGCACCTCCAGCACTTCATCCGTTTGTTGAAACATCTCAATTGGTATTCCATCAATTCCTGGAGACTTGTTTTTTGCCAAGCCTTCAGTGTAAATATATATATTTGCTATATATATTCTACCACAATAAAACTTTTTAAAGACTGATGAAAAACTATACCCATCAAGAACTCTAATTCCTCCACTAATGACAAACTATATATAACGACCCATTGGTTCTAAATCTTAACAAAGGCCAAAGTCCCTTTAACACAAGTTTCCTTTTGTCTTATCAACTTCCCTCTTTGAAGCTTAAAGTATCTCTTTCTATTAATGCCATTAATTCCAAACTACTTGTCATAGTTTGGCTCAATAATTCAACATTTTTTACAAGAAAAGCTTTTTTCCTTTTCATTAAAATCTTTTTGTTAACATCCATAATTTGACATAAGGATAAAGTTCCTTGTGTAATAGAAAGTTTTTCCAGCCTAAACTAAAATACACAGGGCTAAATAGCTTTAAGTCCACTTAAGATAACTCTTTCCTAGCAAACATTTCCATCTGTCTCTTTCATCCACTATTATACATATCTCAAGAATTTAGTTCCAAGGAACTTTTTGTTGTTGTTTACTCAATCTTGAGATCCACCTGTGCCTCCAACTCCACTTCTCTTTTTTTAATTAATTTAAAAAAAAAAAAAAAAAACATTGCTCTGTCTTAGAGAAAATAAAGGGCATTGGGTAATTCCCAATAGGTCTTCCGAAAGTGGCTGCTGCACCCCAGCTAGATAATTTCACTCTTCCAATTGAAGTATAAAACCTACTTTGACAATGAAACCCTTTATAAAAATTTCAGAGCCCATCTGCATGCTCCAAGGAACTTAGAAATCAACCACAAATTCAGTAAAATGAAATAGCCACAAAAGCTTCAGCTTTCTAAGGAACTGTGGAGCAATATACTCCTAAGGTCTTTTGCACAAAATCTGAAAACGAGAACTAATCTATCTAGGCAGGCATGAAACACAAAGTTTAAATTATCACTCAAACTTTCAAGACAGTCTAACAAAGAAAACTAATTTTAGTTGGACTATTTCTCATACTTTCAAAAGAGTCACTCCTGTTTCAACAGAAATATACAGCTTTGAAATTTTTTATTCATTTTCACTGAGGTGTAATTTATATACCAAAAAACAAGTGTATGAATTTATGAACTTTGACATATATACAGTCATATAACCACCACTATAATCATAATAAAGAATATTTCCATCATCTCAAAAAGTTCTCTTGGCCCCCTTCGCTGTCAGTTTTCTCCCCTCATCAAGATCCCTGGTAACTACTAATTTGCTTTCCACTGATACAGTTTTGTCTTTTCTAGAATGTCATGTAAGTGGAATCATTCCATATGTAGTCTTTGTGTCTGGCTTTTTTCACTTAGCATGATGATTTTGAGATTTATCCATGTTGCTGTCTGTAATAGTCATTTACGTCTTTTTATTGTTGAATAGTATATTTAAAGTATCATATGTATGTCTGTGTGTGTGTATATGTATGTATTCATCATTTCATTCATTTATTTAAAAAATACTGAGCACTTACGTGTTAGGTAGGGTTCTACGTGTTGTGTATATAGCAGCAAACAAAATGGACAAAAATACCTGCTCTAGTGGATTGTACATGCTAGTGGAAAAGTGACAAAAACAACATAAGTAAAATATATAAACTACATGAGAGAGTGTTAAGAGCTAATGAGAAATATCAAGCAGGGAAGAGATAGGAAATGTCAGTGAAAGAGGTTGCAGTTGGAGATTAAGGCAGCCAGGGAAGGTCTTACTGACAAGGGAACCATTAAATAAACACCTGAAGAAAGTGAGTGAATGTGACAATCTGGGGAAAAGCATTCGAGCCAGAGGCAACAGCAAGTTCAAAGGCCCTAAAAGCATTTCCCGAATTTTTGTAGAAAAGTAAGGCAGCCAGTGTATCCGAAGATAAATGAATGAAAGGGAGAGTTGTAGAAAGTAGTATCAGAGAGGTAACAGGGTGGAGTTGAAGGTCATGTACGGCTGTATGAGCCATTTTAAGGACTATCTTTTACTCTTAATGACATGGCCATTGCAGATTGTTAAGGAAAGGAATGACATGATTTGACACACACTTACAGGATCATTCTGGCTACTGTGCTGAGAATAAACTGAAAAGAGAAAAGGACAGTAGATTAGTTTATAGGCCATGTGGTAATTTTGGTAAAACATAATAGCGGCTTTGACTAGCATGGTAGCTGGGAAGGTGGGAAAAAATCATCAAATTTTATATATTTTTTGAAGGTGGAGCCAGTAAGATTTACTGTTGAATCAGATAGAAGATGGAGAAAAGGAGTCAAGAAGGGCTCCAGTCTTCTAGCCTAAACAATTGGAAGAAAAAATATGCCATTTATAGAAAGAAAAGAGCAGGTATGAGGCAAAATAACAAGAGTTCAGTTTGGGGACATGTTAAGCATGAGATGCCTAAGCAGTGCTGTTCTGGAGAGAGTGGCTCTCACAAATCGACTGTTAAATTTTCAAGAATTTTTCAAGCCAGCTGACATCACTTTGGGAACTTGAAATCGGCCACAAAATTAAGTCGTATCAATGTTTTCCATGGCCTCTATAAAGTAATTCAGTGGAGTGGTGCGGGATAAAAGTTGGACACAAAAGTAAATAACTCGTTTCTATTAAAATAGGTAAAACCACCAGCAAGCTAAATACAAATCCTCTTCATAACCATACAGTTTCCAAGTTACCCAACTGTGATGAAAAACGACGCTTTGTATATACCCTGTGGCTTGGAAACCTTCCCATGAAAGATTTTAAAGCAGACACAGATAGTACATATTTTCCAATATTAATGCCAAACACATAACTTCATTCCTCAACGTAAAAAATTAAGTTTTGTTTTTTAAGTAAATTGTTAAGGATAGGATTTCTGCACTTGAAGAAAATTTTCATAAGTGATCCACATTAAAAATGTTGCTTGGTATTTCGAAGTCTTAAAACCTTAATAAGCACTGTTCTAGACGGGTGCCTCTACTATTTTCTCATTATTACATTAGTAAAATAGGGTAAATGTTGGGTGGCTGGGGACAATCTATACCAAACAACAAAATTGTAAGATGGGAAAAGGGTGACTCCTAGTGGAGACAAAGGCAGTGGGAGGAGTGGACAAAATTGGGTACAGCAGAAACGGTTTAAACCTTAAATATCCGAGGAAGTACTTTAAAAATAAAAAAGCTGAAAGTTGAAATATGACCCTGTGCCAATGGCTACCAGGCAACCTCTCAACTCTGAAACCAGGTATGACAACCAGTGGAGTCGCCTAGACATAACCTGCTTCTGGTTGGAGGCCCCAGTGACCCCAGCTTCCCCTGCACGCTGCCTTTCATGACCCTCTGGCTCTTCTGCTCTGGTCACCTGTATTCTTTGTCCCGCATGTTCACATCATGTTTCTTGAGGTGAAGGCACTCCTGCACCTTCTCCAAATCCCCGACTGAGGCAGCTTTATGAAGTTTCCTTAAATCCCTATCTCGAAGGTTGTAGCCCGGTTGCGCCTGGGGGCGGGAGCGGTATCGACTACTGGCCGGGCCTATCTGCAGGTCTGAGGCGCAGCTGCGAGATTCATCCTTCCTACGCCAGAAGCTGAAAAACTTCTTCATGGCGGCAATCCTTCAGCTGGCCCAGGCTGTACAGGTAGCTCCTAACAGCACACATGCCCCTCCACCTGGCGACCCATCTCGCAAGGGTCTGCCGCCGGGCGTCGCCCCAGACGGAGAGTTGAAGTGTGCTGGAGACCGGAAGCCGGAAGAGCCGCATAGCGGAAGCACGTACGGCCACATGCCAGAGGCTGCGCACCGGATTCTGTCGCCCGGCAACGTCGAGAGCCTCAGCCAGACTCATTGTGACCAGGTACCCGGGGCAGTCTTCCTATTGGCTCTTGAGCCTTTGGATGGAAACCTACTAGCGTTCTTACAAAATAACTCCTTCTTCAAGGATGAACTTAACGGTTTGAAGCTTTCAAACTGGGATTACCTTCCTCGTGGTGGGTTAGATCTCTTCCTGTGACCTTGCCCTTCAGCCTACCCCCAGGCTCTCACCTTCATGGTCACATGCTACAACTTTTCTGTAACAAAACTGAAATTCCTCCATTCTCAATTTCAAATCTACTTTTTAAACACCATTTCCCATATTTCCAGCTCATTTTCTCTAGTCACAAAACTCCAAAAATCTTTCCAACTCACTGCACCTACAGTCCATTAATCCTACCATCTTTTCACCTACCTTGACCACTCCTACCCCACGTCCTCACTTTCCTACTTACCTAGGTTAAATTCTGTGGTCAGTCATTATAATCATTCTCATGTATACTTCAGTACTTCCGCAATCCATTTCTTTTCTTATTTGTCTGCCTAGATGACCAAACCTAACCACACTCGTTGCTGTCAGGTTGATTCCGACTCATAGCCACCCTACAGAACAGAGTAAAACTGCCCCATAGGGTTTCCAAGGAGCGGCAGGTGGATTCAAACTGCCGACCTTTTGGTTAGCAGCCAGCTCTTAACCACTGTACCACCAGGGCTCTGCCTAAATAACAGCCCTAGTTAAATCTACCCATCTAAAACCTTTCTGCCCTGAGCGACAACCTCTGGATGCAGGTCCAACAATGCTAGATCAGACAAGCTCTTTGTACGAAAAAATTGAGAACTCATCTGGTTTTATTAATAACCCACAGCAAAGTTCGTTCAAATGGTTGCCGGTCTGATGAGAACCTCTGTCTCTTGTCAGTCCTGAGTTGGGGGGGGGCAAAAATTTGGGAAGTTGGCAGTCATTGAAGGAGCCCCGGTGATGCAGTGGTTAAGCGCTCAGCTGCTAACCACAATGTCGGAGATTCGAACTCACTCTGCGGGAAAAAGATGTGGCAGTTTGCTTCCCTAAAGATTAAAAAACCAAACCAAACCCCTTGCCATCGCGAGTCAATTGGAACTGCTGACTTTTGGTTAGCAGCCGAGTGCTTAACCACTGCACCACCAGAGCTCCCCCTAAAGACTAGAGCCTTGGAAACCCTATGGGGGAATTCTGCTGTGTCCTATAGGGTCATTATGAGTCGGAATCACTCAAAGGCAACGGGTTTGATCTTGGTTTTAATAAGTTACTATAAAGGTCTTTAAATTATCTTTTCTGTCCTTTACAAACAGTATAAGAGAAAAATTCAGCAACTTCTGCACTTCCTTAATATATTTGATTTCCACTGATGTGTAGTAAGTGTAAAATATTTAGTAGACTCAAATTCCAACCCAGTCACTTAGAAGAATTTTCGAGCTTCTTAACTATAGCCCCAATTTCCTCCATGTAATGTAAATTAGGCATTAGGAACTCTGCAGAAATGCCTCCCCCTCCCTCCCCAATCTGGACAGTGTACAGTACTTTTTTCTCCTCAAAGGTTTCTCCATGGGGACACATGCTCCCATATCTCTGAAACCACCGCGGGGACAGGGGTTGCTGCATGAGCTCCCGAATCCTGAACCAAAACCCGTTACCATGCGGTCGATTCCAACTCATAGTAACTCTATAGGACACAGTAGTACTGCCCACAGGGTTTCTAAGATTTTAAATATTTAGGGAAGCCGACTGCCACATCTTTCTCCCCTGGAATGGCTGGTGGGCTCTAACCTGTGACCTTTTGGCTAGCAGCCCAGCGCTTAACCACTGAGCCACCAGCGCTCCTTTAAGTCTAGGAATGACCCCTCAAATCTTGAGCAACTTTGAACTAGAGCAGTGGTTCCCTAACTTTGCTGCTCAGTGGAATCACCTGGGACTCTAAAAACCACTGAAGCCTGGTTCCCACTCCCAGACATTCCGAAGTATGGGGGGGAGGCGGGGTGCTGAGCATCAGGGTTCTAAAACCTCCCCTAACCCCGTGCTGTGGAGCGATTCCAACCTACAGTGACCCTAGGACAGAGTAAAACTGCCCCATTGCTTTTCCAAAACTGTAAATCTTTAGCAAGTATACTGCAAAATCTTTCTCCTGCAGAGCGGCTGGTGGGTTCAAACTCCAGGGCTCCTTTCCCTAGTCTTACTCTGCGCTAAGTTTCCAAAACACTAGCTGAGGGAGCCAGAGGGATGCGGGAGCGGAGTGAACCCTGGGATTGAGGCTTCTGCAATTAAGTGGGACAAGGAAAGTATTGAGAAAAAAAAAAAGCAAAGTGCTTGGGGGAAGTTTCTGGGGAACAAGGACTTCACAGTCCTGGAGTCAGGAGTCGGCACAAGTCCCTGATCTTGTGCAAGAAAGGCGCGGATTTAGGTATGGACACTGCCGCCCACCGACAGTTCCAAGATTAGAGGACCGGAGCCGGCGCATGCACACTGGGTTGCTACGGCTAATGGACTGGTATGCTCATGCGCAGAGCTTACTCTAGCGGAGTTCGGGCTGTTAGGTTTAGCGTCGTACCCAGCCTCAGTTGTTCGGATTTGTGATGTGTGGCACTTCTCCGTAGAGACGCCGCAGCAAGACCTGCTCCGGTAACCTAGCCCTCATGTGGGGATCAGAGGGCGGGGGGAAAGCGTGGAGGAGAGGTGGGGAACGTCTCCCCTCTTCCAGGCGACCCTCACACCTCTCCCCAGGGTATGAACAAGGTTTTGGTCTTCCGTAGAGGGAAAGGCGAGCGGCCCTCCGGCTCTTCCTTAGGCCAGAAGAGGGGCTGTGGGGGCGTCGCACGTGGGATTACCTGCGGGCACTGCGTCGCGCGAAAAAAGCTCGAACAGTCCACAGGAGTGCCGCGTCGGGCACGTGGCAGAAGTGTACTTTTTTTTTCTTTAAATGTATATCAGTTGCCTCAACGAATGAGACAAAAAGAACAAGTAGTATGGACAGCGTGACCCACGGGCACGTCCAGGAAGAGGTGGGGTAGATTCTGGGAGGGGCGCACTCTCCTGCCCTCAATTCCACTGGTTTTTGGAGCTGGACACCGTCTGCATCTCCTGCGAGATGTGGAGTTCTTCTTCTACTAAGACTCTTCAGCTCCTGGGACTTTGTAACCTTTAAATAGTAACTTCACGTAGGGCACATTGTATCTGTATATCTTCTATGAGTCGAATCTTTAACTACAGCAAAAAGGTGGGGAAAAAAACTTCTGATTGGATTGTGATCTTTTCATAATTCCACAGCCTTGGAAACCCTATGGGGTAGATCTACTCTGTCCTGTAGGGTTGCTATGAGTCAGAATCGACTCCACAGTGGCAAAGAGTTTGTTTTTTTGTTTTTTCTTAACAACTTGAATATGGTTTAAATTTTAACAGTAATAGAAAGTATGTACACCAGCTTTTTTAATATATACATTTTTTAATCATCAAATATTAGCATATTTTAGAAACATGTAATAAGAGAAATAACTCCCATCGTATATCACCTTCTGAGCTAAAAACACTTTTGATAAATTCAACATGTTTTTTATAGATATGCAAAAAAATCAGACCAGTTGCTGGCAAATCTATTCAGACTCATGGTAACCCCATGTGTTACAGAATAGAACTGCTCCATAGGGTTTTCTTGGCTGTAATCTTTATAGAAGCAGATTGGCAGTCCTTTCTTTCACAGTGCTGTTGTATGGGCTCAAACCATCAACTGTTAGGTTAGTAGTCAAGGGCAAACGTTTTGCACCACTCAGGGACCTGTATGTGTATGTATATGCTTTACTAAAGAATCTTAGAAAAAACTTTGAAATGGTGAAATGCTCCATGTTCTGAAACAGAAACTCATTTATCTAAAAAAAGTGAATTTTTCCCTTATTCTAACAATTTTCTATAAACCAAATCAAAATATCAAGATTTTTAAATTAGAGTTGTCTGTGATGCCATTCTGGAATAGTATTGTGTGATATAAAGAAGGTAAAGTGAGACTTAGAAATTTCCATTAATTATTTTATTGACCATAGACTAGGCAGACAAATGGAATAGACAGTAAAGTCTAGACACACTCCCAAATACATGTAATTGGTATTTGATCATTGCAACAATTCATAGTAGGAAAAGGATGAATTACTCATAAATGCTGGCCCAGACCCCTCCCAGTCTTTGGTAATGAACCACACTTGGACTCAATATACAGTGAAACCTGTGAGAGCTGGGGCTCGCTGGGTTTGCCTTGTTTTTCCAGGTCTTGTAAGTTTTCTGCCTTTGACAGGATTTAGTCACCAATTTTCTATTGCTTTCTATTTAGTGAAAAATATTTTAGTTCCTTCTCTGATAGGTTTCTGCCTTACACAGGTTCCAGCTTTCACAGGTTTTACTGTATGTATCATCAGGACTCATGGCCATACATGGAGCCCTACTGGCACAGTGGTTAAGTGCTTTGCTCCTCACCCAAAGTCAGCAGTACGAGCCCACCAGCCACTCCACAGGAGAAAAATGTGGCAGTCTGCTTCTGTAAAGATTTTACAGCCTTGGAAACCCTATGGGACAGTTCTACTCTGTCCTATAGGGTCACTGTGGGTCAGAATTGGCTTGATGGCAGTGGATTTGGTTTTTTTTTCATGGTTGTACATCATAGAAGGTATCACAAAGTGGTTTATGCAAAGAGAACTTTTTGGCTCAGGTAATTGAAAAGTCTAGAAGTTAGATCTTCAGGCATGGCTGAATCCAGGTGCTCAATTGATGTTCCTTC